AGTGGTTACATGCATGAGAATTGTCCCTAGGAGGGCACTATAGAAAGATTTCATTCTGAGAAATTTGGCTGCAGTAGAATATGCATTAAAAAGGAAAGAGACAAAACGCTTTTGACAAATATAAATTCATTTAGCACAATGCATTAAACATTAATATACCTTCAATCATGAAGCTATAGTTAGTTTCATACCCTGTAAGGAAATAACCTCATCACTTGACAAATACTGTTAGAAGCATTCAGTTTTGGGGGTTAAGAAGCTGTGGTGTTCTCTTTACATGTTATGCTGATGTCAGGGGATATAAATTATAATTACAGGCATTATTATTCAGAGATGCTATAGCTTTTGACTCCTGTATCCAAGCCTCACTCCTTGCATGTATACCTCATAGACTTAGTGGGATGTGACAGAGGAAATCTATCAGCCCTGTCTGAATGGCTAAGAACTATTTTCAGTAATAAGAAAATTGTCTTGATAAATCAGACACTTGCATATCTTTAAAATGTGTGTTTGACTGTTTCTTCTAAGATTTTGTTCTCCATCTGCTTTGAGGTAAGCAGATAGATTTCAGCATGGTTTTACTATAAATCTCCTTGAGGAGGGCCTAGCATTAACATTTGTGTAGGTTCTTTTTCATCTGAATCCAACCTTAGTTAATAATCAGAAAATTCTACATAGTGGGTAAGAAGATGTAATTAACCTTTTGACCCCAGAATCTTAATTGGTGCCTGTTGAAAATAGTGGAAAGTTAAAAAAAAAATTTTTAAGTAGCCTGCAGTGATTGAGTAGCACAGTATATAATAGCTTTCTCAATTCAAAATTGTAAAAAACTTCCACAGAACTTTGAGCTTAATCAGATTTAGTTTCCAAGGCTACTGATTGAACGTTTCCTTTCTCTCTTACTTTTTAAAATTTCAACACCCATATGAAACCAATATTGATGCTACTCTTCAAACTTTCCTAAGCAGCATAATACAATTAACTACATAAAGGAACAACGTGGGATTGGGTACTATTGGCTCTGAAAAGAGTGACTTTGCCGATCTGTTCTCAGCCCAAGATCATGTAGCATTTCTTATTCAAAAGGTAATAAAACCTGAGTTCTGGATACTTATCTCACACTAGAGATATAACTGACCAAAATAATAAGCATAAAAGTGAAAAATAATCCATTTTTTTAACCTCTGTTATCACTAACAGCTAATCTGATTAGCTGTTCTCTCCCCACCAAACTGGCTGTTATTTTTAATTGAATTGACTGGATGTTTTTGTGTCATGTAGACATAGACTCATTTTAATCTCACTAGGAAATTGGAACATGTGTCAAAACCTCTATTTTTGCAGGCAAAACTGGCCAGTTCTTAGATGGCCACTGCTTAATAGCATCAGATGTTTAGCCTCCAGATAGCCCTAACGCCTATGGATGGCACCCAAAGCTCCTCTAATATTTTAGTATGTACATGAGGTCTTAACCTCAAGTTACAGCCCGTGTTAAAAGTCATAATCCCCTTTAGTGAAAAAGTAAAGGATATGTTCAGATGGCAGTGATATATCTATTCAGGAGGAGTACTAGTTGCTTGGTAAGACTATGAAAGAATCCACCCTTTCCCTAATATCCCAAACATCAGGAGATACCTCAAAGTATAGTGGAAATCCCTGGCGTTTACATATAAAAATAATCTAGTAACTCCTTAACAGTATTCTTGGGGAAAATAATTTCCATCCTCTTAGTCATTTTGGAATGTGTGATATAAAGGGAAAGAGCCCTGAGCTTGGAGAGGTTAAATAAGTCTTGATCGAGCAGTTGTTAGGCAAGCCAAAAACAAGACATTTCCCCAGCATTGAGAAATTCAATCTCTCTGAGAATTGAATAGTCTAACCAGGACCATAAATATTGTAAATGCTTTCATGATATCATGGGTATACAGAAAACTAAATTCTGCCTCTCCCCTAGCTAACTGACTGATCTTGTCTAACCATGTATCCGGTCTGTGCCTCAGTTTCCTCACCTGGAAAATGAAGGGTTAGTCTGCAGGAGATTATCTCTATGACAGCTCCATAAGTCCTTTCTTCTGCTCCCAAAGTGCCCTTCTATCACTCCCCAGAGAAATTCTCCTGGATCTTTCTCTGTCATCAGTCTCTTTTGACGGCAGCAGCACAGTAAGGTTTGAGAAAATGGCTGACTCAGTTCTCAGTGATTGTCTATGCTATGGCTATAAAGTTAAATGAAGAACCTAACATGGCCCTTTCCTCCAAAGAGAGGGTCAAAGGAGGAGAGTCTTTAACCTCAGGAGTCATTCTCCAGAGGCAACTTATTTAAAGTAATGATGTGTTGAAGTGAGATCCTTCCCAAACTTGTAGGAAGGACCCTTCCTTCCCTTTGGACTGGCCCCTGGTATAGTGAAACCAGTGCAAAGGAGAGAAGAGTGAGGGAAGCACACTCTACTCTTGAAGGTTCTACCTTCAGCAGTTTTGTCAAAGGAAGCCACATCTCTGAGGCAGTAGTTTGTTCTGCACAGGGATTCCAGGAGAAATACTACAGAGCTTAGGTGACCAGGTGACGTCTAGTAGAAATGGCTTATGAATTCTCTGGTCATCCCATTTCCCCGTTACCACCCCTAATAAGTAAACAAATCATTCAAAAACATGTGATGCTGTTTAAAAAGTTATAGGGTGCCTCTTATTATACGCTATTTTAACTTCAGAAATGCTGTATTTATCTTTTCATTAGTTCACATGTATCCATTAAGGAATGTTCATTTTTAGTGGAAAATAGAATAGGTATTGAGACCACCTGTCAGAATTGAAATCTAAATTCCACACCAAGAATGGGCTTGTTGTCTAACTTGGCTAAGCCTCAATTTCCTTGTACTGTATATAAAATAGATAATATAATGACTTCATATGATACTTGGGAAAACGTAAAAAGATAATACTGCTTAGGTCATATTGTTTAATAAATGGAACCTGTTATTATACTGTCTTAATCAAAAATTTGTCTTTCATGTAATTTGTTCATCTGTGACACAGTATAATATGCCTTTGAGTTGTTTTAAAAATTCAGTAAGTTGGAGAGTGGTACTGGGTGCCACCCATAGTTTCTGACCAGTGTGGGGCAGTGAAGAGGGGTCAGGAAATATGGAAATCTACATTTCATGTATACGTATTATCAGTATAATATGTTTATTCGAAAATTTGTCTTTCATGTAATTTGTTCATCTGTGACACAGTATAATATGCCTTTGAGTTGTTTTAAAAATTCAGTAAGTTGGAGAGTGGTACTGGGTGCCACCCATAGTTTCTGACCAGTGTGGGGCAGTGAAGAGGGGTCAGGAAATATGGAAATCTACATTTCATGTATACGTATTATCAGTATAATATGTTTATTCGCG